GATGGCCGCCGTACTGAAAAAAGCCGCGAAACGGAGCAGATCGGGACTCAATCGAGGTCGCTGCACCTGCCGGATCGACGAAATATGCCCTTGGGGTCTCATTTGTCGTTAGTTAATCACCTGCTCGGTAGAAAAGCTCATGGCGATGGGGGAGAAGGTAGAGACGAAGGCGGAGAGGAAGCGGAATCAGAGTAGACGAGTTAGAGATCGTCGCCTTCCTCTTCAAAATCGAAGGACGACGTAGACGAAGGGGAAGAAGGAGAAGGAGGTAAGGGACGGAGATAGGACACGTGTCGAATGATCGATCGAGCTGATTGGCTTCCTGAGACCTGCGGCGCAAGCCGCACCGTGTTCACTTTGCTAGGACCGAATTCGACTACGCGAAATCGTCCGAAGAATCGTGGCGCTAACTTGCCCTGGCGAGCACATTCCCTTACCTGCACTATGTCCCCTAATTTATACTGAGGCCGAGACCCAACATTCCCATTTCGGGCCTCATAGCTCCAGACCTGTCGTTCGTGGGCCATTTCGGTCGTGCGCTGTCTTTTTCGGGCTAGTCGCAGGAGGGCTCTTTCCATCAACTCTAAGTGGCGCTGAGCCTTGTTTTTGACAGGTGCCCTCGTGGCTCGCCGTGCAAGGGTCGTCTCGTCATTCAGGCTTGGCAAAGCTACCCAGGCCAGACTATTGGTTTGTAGCTGAAAAGGGGTCAGACTGGTGGACTCATGGGGTGTCCCTTGGTGGATAGCCTGGATCATGGCAGGATGTGATCTACGATATCGGGCCAAGGCCTTTTGTCCCTAGCTGCGATATTTTGCCGCAGAGCTGTCTTAATTACCCGGTTCGCATTCTCCACCAATTCGTTCGATTGCGACATATGGGGGGCTGTATTGCGAATGGAGATGCCATGTACAACTAGGCTCCTTAAGACTTCTTCTCGGAATTCTGCCCCGTTGTCCGTTAGGATTTCCTCGGTGTCTTGATGCATTCCGAAGAAGCGGTTGACATACCGCACAATTTTCGTCGTTTGTCGTGTTTTGCAGGGGTAGGCCTCGATCCATTTCGAGAAATGATCCACAAATACCAGGAGAACCGAATATTCGCAGCTATTTGGTCCAGGGGGCACGACAATATATGTTGTGTCGTAAGTTCACACTAACTCTGTGGTGGAAGCCCAAAGGCATGGAGCTTTTCAGGCCTCGGCATCAGATTCATCGAGTCCGCGGGGGCGTCCCGGTGCGGTGTTGCTTGGTGTAGGCTGGGCTGGGGGAACCCAGGTCCGAAAGTTAGCCGGGAGCACGCCCGTGTTGCGGAAGAGTTATGGGATCGAGCCACACCTTTGTATCCCAGGACTAGTCTTCACCAGGAACATGAATCTCCCTGCCGACACCAGCGGCAGTTAAACCGAGTCCGCCACGTGGCGTGGGCCGCGGACCAGGGTAACACCATTCAGATTAGTGTAAGGCAGGATCAGGGGAGGGGAGGAGAACTGATCAATCAAAACAAACCCGCTCCCCGCTATGTGGCAAAGGTTGAGCACGAGCAATTGCCTGCGCCAGCGTTCGCCAAGGCGAACACTGACTCTACAAAGCTCAATGGAACTCATCTCACCCTCTCCATGTAAACCAGGGTGTAGGCTTAGAGATCCAGAGTTGTGATCACTGATTAGTGACTAAGATTGAGTCGCGAAGACATCAGCCGCGTTGCGGAGACGCGGGCGACTAATGTCCCCGGTTGTCGAGTGCACGTTGTGGAGCGACACCAGCCCAATTGACCTGGAACACCTGCGAGCACGAGGGGAGAGGAGGGAAAGAGTTAGTGACAATCCCCGCGCATACACACGGCGCCGGGATCGACAAGGTTCGGGGAAGGAAGGGAAATCCAACACACATGCATCCATGCAGACGGTCGACACCCAATGTTCCCCAGAGTTGCGCCTGTGAGCGCCCACACATCTACTCATTCATCTATATAGGACAGTGAGACATTCAGCATCCATAGACTCTCGTACCAATCAGCATGCATACAACGGAGTACTCGTACCTCGGGACACTGCACACATCACACCAAGTCTTGGACAACGCAGCGATGGAGATAAAAGTGAGTCCCTCACTATTCAAAATTCCCACACGGTTGGCCTCCCTCAGGCGCAGCCCCCAACCAGTTCAAACATCAACCAACCATAGTCAAAAGGCCCTGCCGCTGGCAGCATTCGATCTCCACCACCACTCCGTCACTCCAACTGTCTTACCCCAAGTCTACCGCTAGTTCCGCCCCACGTCGTCACTCCGCCCGTCACTGGGCACGTCGAGCCTGTTCGACGCCGTGGACTTCGTGCATAGCTCGTGCAGCATTGCAGCCAAGACCAAAGAGGAGGAGAGAAAGGGACTGCGAGAATTTATAGAGCAGAAGGCGACGGGGTGCCAGCGCGAGGTGCGGGTAGCAAGGGGTGTAGATGAGCAGAACATAAGAAATGCGGGGATTCTAGGAAGATCGAAGGCGGCGAGTCAAAAGTTCTGTGTAATTGGGGTGGTCATTCAAGTGATGCGCGCATTTCGCATTCGCCACATTGATCCATCCATCCCAACTAGACAGCCAATCACTCGCTAGATAGGTAAGGAGAGGATCGGATGACGCTTGGGGGAAGATGAAGAGGCATGCAAAAAGGAAGCGCGCAGCAAGAAGGGAAGATGGCGCATAGATGCAAGGCAGGGAGCGGGTTTACACGGCATGCAAGAAATTTGAAAAACAGCCGCGCACGCGTTATTACGCAAGAATTAAAAAATTCCGCCCACACTTATCCCTAACCGTTTCTTGGATTTCTCGGCGCGGTCGCTAACCGTCCGTGCGGAGAAATCAACAGGGGTAGTTCTGAAAAGATGCAAGTTTCTTTTCCATCCCCCTCTGTGGAAAAATAGACCCCGCTTTTCTAAATCAACCAGAATCTGTACTTACAGGCTTACTTTGGATTTTTCTCCCTAAGGGTACGGAAAGCCGCTGAGTACGGATCCAGCTTATCACATGTTGCCTCTGCAGTGTTGCCTGGTGCTTCGCTGCCACTGCTGTGTTCCGTTTGGGGACAGTCTGCCTTCCACAAGGGTCAAAGGGTGCATGACTCAAACCATCAATACAGGCATTCCACAGATTGTCGAGGGTTAGCCTCCTGATGAGACGGTGCAAGTCCAACGAAACAATCTATCATCATCAGCTTTCAACTTTCTTCCTCTTTATTTTCTGGTTGTGGTTGGCGTTCCTTTGTCTTGCACAGTTGTGTGTTGTCTGCCCTTCCACCTCCCCCATGCCCTCCAGCCTTGGTGTTGCCTTTTGTCTTGCTGCCTCTTTCCCTGACTGTTTTTGTCTGCTGTTCTTGTTCCTATCTTTTGTGCTTGTCTTTGTGGTGTTGCAAGGAGTAGCACAAGTCGAGTCCATTTCCACTTGGTGGGGAGTGGGGTGAGACGTCTTCAAGTCTGTGTGCATGGTCTCCGCCTGGGGGATGGTTGTTCAGAGTACGACTTGTACTGAGTGTGAGACGTCTTCAAGTCCGTGTGCATGGTCTCCGCCTGGGGGGTGGTTGTTCCGAGTACGACTTGTACTGAATATAGTAATACATACATACACACACCCACTTCCCGCTCAACCACACAAACGTGGGGAACCTTGCATTTTCTATCATGGATGGTTTGTGATGGCTGCAAACGGAATGTGTGTGTGTGTGTGTGTGTGTGTGTGTGTGTGAGAGAGAGAGAGAGAGAGAGAGAGAGAGAGAGAGAGAGAGAGAGAGAGAGAGAGAGA